ATTCTCAACTCTCCATTCTGATCTCAATATTCCAAACAACCCAAACAACCTCAAAAATCATTCCAGGAGTACGGAAGGACCGTTACACATTACACAACTGAACCTCTTGTCCCACTGAGCCTCTTACTTGCTGATGCCTGGAGGGAGCTCGTTGACCACCACCCTCCTGCTCCAGGCCATCAGGTCCCTCTCGGTGGCCATCTGGCTGCGGGGCGCGTTGTGGTGCATCTGCCGCACGCCCTCGATCTGCCCGCTGCGCCGCAGCCCCACGTTGGGCGGGGAGGACACGTCCAAGCCTGGGCTGCGAAGAGCTGGGGAGAGACAAACAAAGAGCTTCTTCACTTCCATGAACCACCAAGAAAATCCTGCAGTCACAGGATGGTTGGGTTAGGAGGGACCTTAGAGATCAAACAGCACCAGCCTCTGTCATGGAACAACTTCCACTATTCCAGGTTGCTCCAAGCCCTGTCCAACTTGGCCTTGGACAATTCCAGGGATCCAGGGGCAGCCGCAGCTTCTCTGGGCAGCCTGTGCCAGGCCTCCCAACCCTCACAGGGAAGAATTCCTTCCCTGTATCCCATTCACAATTTAAAGCTTAAGGATGGCACAAAGATTGATAATAATGGAATCACTGCCATCATTGTCCTTATTTATCCCTCAACACAATTCCCACAGTAAATCACATGATAATATTGCATTTAAGGTTGTGCAAAGCTATATAAAAACACCTGGCTATTTAAATACTTTATACACACTCCAATTAACCTACTCAAATGGGCAGTTCATGTGGGCAAAATCCTTGATCAATGCAAGTTCTAGAAGGGAACTGCTTTGACTTCCACACTACTCTGGAAATTCCTTTACACAACTACAGGGACACACAAATAAAACTGGGAACTGGAGCTGTGCAACACATCAACATATCCTAAGCAGCAGAAAAGACTTTGTGTGAGCTGAAGCTGCCTTTTAGGCAACCTTTTTTGAAATATCAACTTAGATCAAAGCAAAAATGCATTTTTGTATTTTTCCCTGGTATTTTTTCCTGGTATTTTTCTTACTCCTTGAATTGAAACACAAGCAATTCCACATCCAAATCCTAATGAGTTTTGCCAGGAAATCTACTTCAAACACATGTAATCAGTCACTTAACCTAGAAGTGATTTATTAGCAGCTGTGAATTCTCCCAAGGCTCAGGCTGACTTGCAGCACAGTCCTGGGCATCTGCTCCCTCCCATCAGCTGCACTCACTCAGCTGCTCACTTCTGATTGAGTGTGGTTTCAATTTTTAATCTCTTTGTGTATTAAAAATAAAATCACAGTAGCAGAACACTTACCAGGAGAATAATCTCAGGCTTTCTAAGGAAACACTAAGACAGAGCAACATGTTTATTTTATTAGCACTGATGCTCAGCCTTGTGCTGCAGCAGGAAACCATTAGTCTGTCACAACACTGTACTCCACTGACAGCCCCTAATTATATGCTTTCATTTTGGCATTTTGCAGCTATGAAGTTTCATCTCTGCACTGATATCAAGACAATACAGTGAACTTCATGCTTATTTTTCATGAAACTGGTTTACAGCAGGAATAATTTCAGTCTAATAACTCCAAGCCATCAGATACAGCCCAGTTAGACCATTGCGTGCCCTCAGCTGCCCCTTAAATTTATAATTCAATTCCTCTGTTGGGATCCACAGAACATCCCACTGCTCCACAGGGGTTAACAAGGTGCTCAAGAAGAGGAGAGAAAAGCATCCTCAAAGACATCATCTCATAACTGCATTAACACTTGGACCAGTCCTCCCTGTGATAAGGAATGAATCTGTGATGGAGATAAGGCTGGACACTGACCTCCATTAACAGAGTGGGATCTATTGAGGGGAGGGTTTGGAAGAGTTTCTCCTTCATTAATTAGTCTGAGATCTTGTTCCCTTTGGAGCTCTCTGATCATTCCATCAAGGATACTCTCATCCTGGTCATTGGTTTGCTGCCCGATGACTTGTTCGACCACCTCACCATCACCTTGACAAGAACAAAGTACAAATGCTGATAAAATGATGGATTTCTGTATTACCAAACACCACAGAAATAATCCCACTTAAAACTCCGCACCACTATTTGTCTGCTCTGCAAAACATCTGATCACCAGCTGGCTTTCTGCTCTCATGTAATAAATGGAGGCAAAATTTAGAAGAGAAGTTACAATAAAATCCTAAAACTCCAGACCACATGTAGAACATAAACACAAACCCTTAGAAAGAGCAGAAAGAAATTATGCTTCAGTAGGTAAGAACGGAAAGTCTTTTTTGGGGGATCAACATTTTGCTGAAGTTTATGTCTACAAGAAAAAGTAACTGTTTTAAAAACCAGAAGTTTTTTCCATGTTTTCCTCACCTTCCTCCTTTGTTTCTCACATCCACAATTACAGAGATTAATAGACAATTAAACATCTGCCACATACCTGGAAAAAATCCACTGATTTTGGAATACTCTTGCCTACAGTCAATTTGATTCCACACACAACGCCAACCCCACCCCCTCTTCTACCTGTATATTGAATTTAAACCATTAATTTATACATCCCCACAGCACCATCCCAGGAGCTGGTGCTCAATACTGTGCCACACTTGTATTATTCATGAGGTTCAGACAGAATACCATTAGCCACATATCCCAGCTGAGGAATAAGTTGTTCATCCTTGCAATTTTCCCTTCCTGGCACCAGCCGCTGGAATCTCGTGGGATGAGGATTTCCATCAACATCCACCAGGAATGGAGGAGGCATAAGGTGTGGAGCCTGTTGAGTCTGTTCATCCAGCACATAATTATTGGCATCCCGGATCAGGGGCCGATAATCCGTGTGGAAGAACATCTGATCAGGAATCTGAAAGAAAAGCAATTCAGTAAATAAATCAATGGCCATTTACAGCTGTCTTGCTGCTCTGGAATGGCTCCCATAAAACTCAACTCCTACACTTGGGATCAGCACAAGGAATGTTATGACAGAGAACAGATTCCTATCACCAATGTAGCAAGGCCTGATGCAGAAATTCAACAATAAAATAGGCCAAGAGAGGTGGACAGAGAAGATAATGCTTTTCTCCTCTATCTATAGAGTCACTTGTCTAAATCTTTTTGCATTAGATAAAGAGCAACTGCTCCATGACCTCATTATTATTTTGTCTGGGGCAGGGTGAGGGAATAAATTGTAACACAAATACTTCCAAGATAAAATCAGGTCAAGACAGGGAAGAGTTTAAAATTCATTCAACCCACCTTTTCATAATATTTATTGCATCCAAAACCAAATAGTAGCAGATGTCCATGAGAGTCTGTGCAGGCAAAATGCTGCCCATCTGGTGAGAACTTGCAATCAAAAACAGCTCCATGGCCTTGGCCCTCAATCTGTACCAAGCACAGAGAATTCCTTTCACAACCAGACATTCTCTGTAAGAGCATTTTCACCAACATTTCCCCTGTGTTCCAACACATACCAAATCCTCATTCTGTGATTTCTCATCTCACTCAAGACTGATTTACACTTTTATTTATTAAACTGAATAACACAGTAAAACTTCACATTTTCTCTGTGTCCTGGAATTTCAGCCCAATTTTTAATGTATGTTCTGGAACAATCACCTAAAAGTCTACATTTTATGTTAATGGCAGACACAGGGCAAGATCACCAAAGATCTCAGAGCTGTACTGGCTCTGGAGGTATTTAATGAAATCTGCTTTTGTCTCAAGGCCAGTTTTGTGAAAAAAGAAAAAAAACAAACCTTTTGTGATCCTTCTTACCATGTTAAAGTAATTGCGAATTTTTGTTCCTTTGTCTATATCCCAAACGAAAATATTCCCATCGTGTCCTGCCGAAAGCACAATCCTTTGGTCAAAGGGATGAGCCTCCAGAACAAAAACTTCATCGTCATGACCCTGCAACAACAGCAGAGGGGAAAAAAGAATTTTTATTTCTGCATTTGCTATGTCCAGATGTGCTGGGAGTTACTGAGCCCAGACCGGGCCACCTCAGTTTACTGGAACTGTGCTTGGTCACCACTCCTGCCTCAGGTTTGGCAGTGTCACTGCTCAGCACCGCTGAGATGGGGAGGGATGGGGAGGGAGGAGCCTCCAAAGGGTTCCCTGTCAGCCAGCAATGACCAGGATTCTGCACATCAGCTCCTTGCCCCATGGTGCACTCTCCTCCCAGCAGGCAGGGGACAGCTGGATACTTCAACACCAAATCCTCCTCATGGGAATAGTGATGAGTTCAGCCTGAAATCAATCTCAGAGTGAACTATATCCACTTGGGATTCCCCCCTGGAATTGTACTCACAGATAAGCTATGCAAAAGCTGCCCTGTGGACGAGTTCCACACTTTGAGGAGGAAATTGTTGACTGCAGTGATGACGGTGGCATCGTATCGATCCCAAGCCACCATGGTAACCTTCAGCTTGGTGACCTTGTCCTCTCCAGATGCCATATTGTTTCTAAGGAAATCAACAATTTAAAAAGGAATAAATCAGTAAGTACATATGGAAACATTTAGGAGAGCTAATTCAGTATGAAATTCGGGGGAGGATGGATCACAGGCACCTCTGTGACTCTGGCTAAGGCAGGAGAATAAAGGATGGTTCTGTAGTGGTACAAAGTGAATACAGGAAATATTTAGTGCCACTGAGATTTATAGAGCTCTATTTCCTTAAAAAGGACATTTTCTCCTCTGCTCCTAAGTCATCATCCCTCTCTACCCTAATTTTTGCTTTCAGCTCTATTAGGCTTATTCCTACAAGGCGTTTTTCTTATCAGTCATCAATATCAGTAAACTCCACAATGAGCAGGAGCCTGCTAAATAAATCCAACTCACACTTCCGACTGCAAACACTGCAAATGCAACCACTGAAATATGGAGAATTCTGCAAAGCAAGTGCCTAATGGATTTCTCAATTTCTGCTCTTTGTTGTTTGGAATATTCAATTACAATTCAATTACAGGGCACTTAAAGAAGTCACTTGAGAATCTCAAAAAGAAAAACTCAAAACTCTAATGGAACCTGAGAACCAAACACTAATTTCACCTCTTACTTGGAAACCTAAGGTAGAAATACAATGTTAAGAACTATATTGGAGATATATATATATATATGTATATATATATATATTAGCAAATGATCACTGGAGCTCTACCAAAACCTCCTTCTGTGAGATAAATTGTTTGACATTCTTATTTCACGTGTAAAATACTAAATATTCCTCAACCATTAGGATAGGGAAGTACCAACAGATTATTAGTTATTTGGGGGTGAATTAACTATGTAAGTTGACAAAGCCACGACACTTTGAATACATGCATGGAAGTCAACTAAAAATGGAAGCAAATAACCAGTTTTCCATATAATGGAAAAATTGAATGGAGGATTTAGCTTGCAGGTAAATGTACCCATGAGGTATGTTCTGCTTGCTTTGCTTTACCCTGTCATTTTTGTAGCCATATCCAGGACCAGACTCTTCCAGTCGTGTTGATGGTAGTGCCAGATTCTTGCTGTTCCATCCCTGCTTCCACTGACAAACCTTAAGCTGTGGGACAAAGGGAAATAAAAAGCCATTAAATTCTGAATAAAGATGGTTTCATCCCCACATGGACACCAATAAATTATATATATATGCACTTGTAAATGTGTACTTGTGCATCTCTACTTCTCTTACTCATGAGGTTACAATTTTCCTATCAGATATTGTAGGGTACAAGAGAATTTCTAGCCCACAACATTAATTACATTTGGCTCCAGCAGCAGATGGCCTTGGAATGACTTCAATGTCGTAATTCATATGAGCTGCACATTCCCTTTTTAATGACATCAGCAAATCCCTGGAGCAGCTCAGAGTGGCAGCAAAGAAAGGGAAACTGTGTGCCAGGAGTCTGGCATAAATTATAATGCATTAACTTAGGGACAGGGTGAAGACAGGCAAGGGAAAGAGCCAAATGGAGCACAAGGAGGTTGTCCTGCCTGTGGAGCTGAAAGGGAATATTTCAATTTTTAAACCCCTCCTTATTGAAAAATTTCAAGCATGCAGCAAATGCATTTAACCACATCATAGTGCTTTGGCCATCAATGTCACAGAAATAATTTTTATTGAGAAACTGGAGAAAAAGCTCTTCAAGTAATACATTTTCACAGGATGGCCAACACCTTTGGAAGTACATTCCATTTTGTCTACATTTATATACAAAATTACACTTAAAAGGCAAACCTATTAAATTTTATGAAGTAATTGTTTCACCTTTTCAGTTTCCCTGACCTTATTTTTTTCACTGTGATGAAAAAGAGTTAGAAAATACTTGTGACAAATTAATTTTCTTCCTAATTTTACTTCTTTATATTAAAATAAAATGGAAGGTACCCCTTTTCCATTCAAAGCATTGTTACAGAATATAAATTTTCAGTATGTGACCTCATTCCCTTGCACATGGCTTGTAAGGAATTGGTGGTACAATTACCCCAGCACATTCCCACATAATTCCACATGACAAAGCTCTCCCAAGTACAGGTGCACAGTTACAGCTGGGCTTGGAAGGCTCATCCCTTAAATATCCTGCCCAGCAAAATAAGGAATAGGAGCAAAAGTTGAGATAAAAACATCTATATTTACCAAATTTTGATTTAGACTACACTGATTACAATGCTCTTCCTCCACAAGCAACCCCTCTGTGGGGGCTTCCTGGGAAGGTTCTTACACAGAAGAGTTATAGAATTTGGGTTCCAATTTGCTCTTTGAAAGAAAAAACAAATCAAAAGCACAGTTACAGAACACGTTTGTTGTTACAACAGAGGACAACGAGTTCGAGCTTGTGGACATGACACACACACATCTTGCAACACACTGCAATAATTTGTCCAAGATTAAGCCAAGCCCACAGGCAAATCTTCCTGTTGCGCCAAATTTTCCATGAAATGTTGCTTGGAAAATTAAATATCATCACTATCAGGTCAAAAACCCAGCACTCACCTGTCACCGTTGTTACAGAACTGCACTGCAACCACTTTGTCCTAAACAGGAGGGAGGAAAAGAACAGAAGTGAAAAACCTCAGCCTAAATGATCTCCATGATGAGCTTTTTACTCAGCTAATAAAAAAATGTCAAAAAATTCAAGTACAGAAAAGTTGTATTTGAAGTTAAAACGTCACCAGACACATTGTGTTAAACACTGAAAGAGAAACCTTCAGAGAGAGGTGATGGTTTCCTGCAATTTTTAGACCTAACATGAAAGTGCATCATAAAATTTAATCCAAAAAATGCAAACCTTGGCTTTATTAACACTTACATATCGTTGAGAAACAAGTGTTATGTTTTAGACATAGTTTTGCCCTTTTTTTAATTTCCAAATACTTGTGCTGGCTCCATGATTTGCTCTCCTTACTCCCACTGATGTCTCTATCTCCTGCTAACTGGGATTTGTTTTAGGGGGGGTGGTGACAGCTGTCTGCAGGATTAAGAGTGGATTTAAAGAAATTAAAGGAACTACAGCTTCTTCCAAACCTGTTCAATAGAGAAAACATCCTTTTCTTTTTGTGAGCAAAATGCTTGTTAGATGTGTTGGCTTGGAGACTTCCATGTGAGAGCCACAACTCCCACTGAAGTTCAGGGAATCAATTTAGACCTTGGGCTCAATCCATGAAATGTTCCTGAGGTGGTAAATTTGTAGTTTGAATTTTTATGGGAACCTTTCTGCATTATCTGAAAAAAATATGCTTTTAAGCTTTATTTTCTAAATGAAATTACCATCATGATCCAAATTTTGACAGCACAGTCCAAAATCTGAATTACTTTGTTTTATGTGGATTTAACTAAACATTCAACAGCAAGTTTAATAGGAAAATATGACATTGTATAATGACATTGTGAATTAAAACTGTTTTAATTCCTCATTCCAATACAGACTTTTTTCAAGAATTAGGGAAAATTACCTGGTACCTCAGTTTTCTGGAGGAATGAAATACATAAAGCCTACTTTGCACAAACCTCTTGCCTCAGAGGGATTTAAAAATAAACATCCCACAAATTTCCAGGCATTTAAATACCACAATGTTGAAAGCCAAACAAATTCTAGACAGTAAATAAAAAAAAAAAAATAGGATGTACAGAAATCAAACTCCTGAAATGAGGAAAAGGTGGGGGGAAAAAAGAGATTTTCTTTTGGATTTGCCTCTTACCGTGTGAGATTCCAGCTCAGCCATTTTCTCTGGAGATTCTGAGCCCAAATAATAAATTCTTATGACATGGTCAGTACTCCCTGTTGCAATGAACATGCCACCTAAAACAGAGAATTCTCTGTGAGAAGAAAAGTCATCCAAGGAACAACTTATTTTAACTTCATTTATTCTAATTTGCAGTTTTCTTGTGAAAGCAGCAAACTAGTTTGAAACAGAAAATTTCAATGAAAACAGGTAAATGTCAAATGAAATATTTAAATGCAGTTTTAATATCTACCTGACACACATCAGAGAAATTATTGCTGAGTTGGGATGCAGTGATTAAGGTATTTTATTGTAATTTCTTTACAGTATTGCTCAAAAAGGCCACTGTTGTGTGGTTTACTGCATTGAAATGGGTTTAGTTAATTCAGGACTTCGGCCTTTAAAAAAGGAACGTGGCACTACAAAAGTTCTCAGTTCTGAGAAAGAAAATTTAATGAGTAATTACACAATTTTCTTTGTAAAAATCAGTATTTTTGCTCATTTAAAGCTGCAAAGAAGATATGTTAGGCTGAGATTTTACAATACATTGAATTGATCCTCTTAGAATTCAGCCAAATTTGGAAGATTAACGAAAGTGCAATCTTTGACAGAGGATTTCCGCAACTTTTCACTCCAAAACTTTACAAGGTGAAGTCTTAAAAGGATGTTACAGAGAAATATCTCTGATGGGCAAAACAAGAGACTGAAAGTCTTGGAAATGGTCAAGATATTTTAGCTTAATTTACTGGAAGAGAAAGAGCAGCTTGAGCAGACACTTTGCAGGGAAAATTTCCAATAATCACAATTTGACAGGGATAAAATTAACTGGAAAAGAGTTTAACCATATTTGTATTTAAAGAGAAGTAACAGAACTGTCACCAAAGCCCCAAATTCATGAAACAGCTGATGCTGCACACGTACCAGAACTGAAAGATGAACAGGAGATCTGAACACCAGGCCTGGACCTCTCTGCAAACTTCACAGGACGATCCCTACATGCAAAATACACTAGTTTTATTTTTCCTTCTTTATTCAACACAAACAGTTCCCTGCAGCTCAGCAGGTTGAGGTCAAGCTCATCTTAAGTCTCTTAATTTTGTAATTCTCACCTAAGTTTGCTGGAATTTATTTTTTGTTTTTGGAATTTTCTTCCTTAGTTTAATAAGAAAACAATAATTCTCTAAACTGAGAAGATTATTTAACTGATTTAACATTACCCTCACCAATTCAAATCTATTTAAAACTGACCCTGCCAAACCATTAATCCAATAGCATTTCCTCCCAATGAAATATGGGTTTGATGACATCTACATATGTACATTCTTCTGATTAAAAGCAAATTAATTCTTCTGTCTGTACATTTTGGACAGGTATTTAATCCTGAATGTAAAAACTGGAATTCCTTCCACAACTTTGGCTTGCAAAGCACAAACCTCAGAAATAACAACCCCAATCTCTGCCTCCCCTTTGGGTTCCAACACCACAGAATCCCAAAGTGCTCCTGCCCCACACACCAGTTTATTGAGCAAGAAAACGCCCTTAATTCATTATCTCAGCACTCTTCTCCATGCCAAAATCAAAAATAAGTTCCTCCTTGAGTTAAAATAATTGTAATTATCTAAACAGTCTCACTTGAATTTCATGGTGTTCGCATGCCACTGCCAGAAACAGATTGTTCCGTCGGCACCAGTGGAAGTGAGGTATCGAGTTGTTCCTTTCCTTGCTGGAGAGAACTAAAAATAAAAGTTGTAACAATTAAACCAGCTCCTACTTTCTCTTCTTTCATGCTGGAAACTTGTTGGCAAGACTGTTTTTTCTCTAACATACTAGTTTCTCCCCAGGAGTAGAGAGACCAGGGGAAAGCACAGAACCTAAACTTTCACAAAAATAAAGCTGAGGAAATGGAAAACACCTACATTTTGGTTAGGAATTCTTTGTTTTTACCACACAAAGGAAATTGGAGAGATGAAACAAGCCCAGACCCTGTAAATGGGGTAAAAATAGTTCTTTCTAGGATAGAACTGGATCAAGCAAACACAACTAACTATTCCTGCATCCAAAGCCAACAAAGAGCAGCTGCACAGCAGGATCTCCTCTCCTCTATCTTCCTAAGCCTCTCTAAGGAGTGGGAAAGCTTTTTATTCTTGATTTCATAACTGCAACAATACCTTTAGTCCTCAGGCTACCTGGTAATTTGATAAAGGAATCCAGCACTGCTTCCTCAAAAAGCAGTGACTGATTATATTCTAAATTATCAGTTTTACAAAGAGCTTGAGAGAAACACACCCACCCATCCACCCACCCATATATATATATATATATATATATATATATATATATATATATATATATATATAAAAATGTACATGTAAACAAATAATACACCAGTTAGAAAGTCAGGTTGGAAAACACATTTCTAACATGATCACCTTAACATGGTTGAAATCAGACAAAACTGGAAGTGTAGGGAAGATGGGGAGAAAGGAGACTCCTGGGGAATACTGGCACGATGGAGAAGCCTGTGCTGAATCCAAGGCAGCACAACTCCAGGAGAGAGGGATTCTGAGCCAAACAGCCCCACTCACTCTCCCCTCTGTGTGCATCATCTGCCAAATTGCAGGGATTGTCTTTTTTATCCTGGAATTTTGGTTTTTGGAGGTCTCTGCTGGCAGTTGTGAGGTTTTTTTTTAAGAAAATCTGCATTTGCTACAACATCTAGAAAAGTTCTTTAAGCTACAAGTTAAAATAAGAAGGAAACAAGATATGGGGAGTAAGAAATTTTAACTGATTCTTCTGAAAAACAACTATTCTCTGTGAACACAAATGTTGGGTCAGCTGCTGTGCCAGGAGCACCACCAAAGATGCCAAACACGTCAGCAAGTTGAGCCAAGGAGATGCTGCAGCTCTCTGAGTTGCTTTAAAAGAGCATCAGACCTTCAATTTTCTAGACCTAAGGAAGCAGCAGTGGGATCACACAGCTAAAAGCACACGGAAGCAGAAGGATGATTCCCTAGGCACCACAGGATTGAGTTAGCCAGGAAAAACACCACTGAGTTGGGACAGATCACAGACAGAAATTTTATCCTTGACCGCCACAGCTCTTACTACCATTCTAACTCAAGAGTTTAGGGGAAAACCCCATCAGTCCTTACCTGTATGGAAGTGATGGAAGCTGAATGGCCCTGCAGGACTGCCAGGGGGGCACAGGTCCGGAGGCACCACACCCTGACCACCTTGTCACAGCTGCCCGCGGCCAGCAGCGTGTTCTCGTAGTTGACGGCCATGTCCGAGATTTCGGCAGAGTGGCCCCGCAGGGTGGACAGCAGGCGCCCGTCATCCGTGGCCCAGATCTTCACCAAACAGTCATCTGACCCCTGAAATTGCACAGGAATTCCCAAAGATTACAGAAAATATGGGACACGTTCCATGCACGTCACACACGGATCGCTGTGGATGGACAAGGATCCCAACCCCCGGGAACCGGCAAAACAACTCAGTGGGATTCCACAGAGGCACAATTTTAGAGAGAAATTCTTCCCTGGGAAGGTGGTGAGGCCCTGGCACAGGTTGCCCAGAGAAGCTGTTGCTGCCCCTGGATCCCTGGAGGTGCCCAGGGCCAGGTGGGATGGGGCCTGGAACAGCCTGGGACAGTGGAAGGTGTCCCTGCCCATGGCAGGGTTGGATGACTGAAATATTCCATCCCATCCAAAGCACTCTGGGATTCTATTATTCCATGAACTGTGGAGTCTGGGGATTACCTTATAGAGTCAAGGATTTCAATTTGATAAAAGAGAATCATGGAATCACATGATGGTTTATGCTGGAAAGGGATCTATTTGGAAGGCAGGGACACCTTCCACTATCCCAGGTTGCTCCAAGCCCCATCCCACCTGGCTCCATGGATGGGGCAGCCACAGCTTCTTTGGGCACCTTGTGCTAGGGCCTCACCACCCTCATCGAGAAGAATTTCCTCCCTACATCCCACCTAGCCCTCTCCCCTCTGGCAGCAGGAAGCCATTCCTCCTTGTCCTGTCACTCCACGCACAGGGATTAACATTAACAGCTAAAAATGCAACATTAATTTGAAAATTCTGTTCATTTTAAAATATGTCCAACAAAAATCAAGGGCATCACCACAGAAATGGATGTCACTGCGTTCTGGAGAAAAAACTTAAAATAATTGCCATGTATTTACTGACACACTACAAATCCAGGAAGGTAAATTTAGCAGAAAAGCAACTTGCAGCTGAACAAAGTCATGTCTGCTTCTCAATCAGTGACTAAGAGGCTCTTGAGAGACTCAAGAAGGAAAGAAATCAAACCAAAAAAAGCAATCTTTGAAAAGAAAAAGGTCCACATTCTAAACTTACTGTAAAAATTCTCCTCCCACTGCGATCAAAGGCTATGCAATAAACAGAGGAGAGGTGCCCCAAAATCCTCTTGTGCATCTTCATGTGTTGGTAGGTGGATGTTGGGAACAAGTGGCTGAAACGGCCACATCCAGTTAATTGCCTGGCAGAAAGGATATGAACTGGGAGAGAAAAAAGAAGCAAAAAGAATAGTGAGACATGAATTTTGTCCAGAACTCAGAGTAAATAAATATTAAATCAAATATAGTATTTATTAACAACTTTATTATTAGAATCAGTAATAAATCTGAACATCTTCCACCTCATCAGAACATTCTGTCCGGTGTTATAAAAAGAAATCCCACTCTTGATGGTGCCTTTCAATACCAACCACAGGCTGCACCTGCTTCCTTACCAAAAACTAAAGTAGAATGAAAAGTTCCCACCACAACTGGGAGTTATTCCAATGTTCAATTCATCAACAGGTTACAGATACATTTATCCTACATGGACGTGGAAAATCTTTAAGAAAAATTTTTGAAGGAAGAAAGGAAATTTAGGAAATATAATATAGTATCAGTTACAAGAGGAGTATAAGAATAGTTTATTTTAAGTGCTTTTTTTGTGATAAAAGAAGTGATAAAAATCTTTCATTGGAATAGCTTCTAGATCATATGTAAGGGCCAAAGGACTTCCACATCCACATCCTTGAATTCCCATGCCAATGGAATTGAAGAACAAGAAATAGGTGGCACTGATGGAAAACTCCCAGTGGCAGAATGGCATGTAGGAGAAAGAACTGCAGCAACAACAAACTCCTTCCTATTCCCATAGCCAGCAGCTCTTCCAAGAACAGCCTAAAACTTAAATGCACAAACCCATCCTGTAATGCACAACTGGAGACCATTTGGGGTTATTTAATTCCACCAATCCTCTCCTACTACTATTTTCCCCAACCTATCCTCAGTCACAGCACTTGAACTTTGGATTTGAAAGTTTTGAGAGGGTTTTTCAGTGGCACTTGAGGATCTAACAGAGCTGTGCTGGTGGGTTTGTGGCGTCCCTGTGATAGCAGATCCCCTGGAGCAACTCCTTATCTTCCCCTGCACCTTGATGTGGGCTGGGCTTCACAGGAGCCCCACAAAGCTCTTTAGTGCCTTTCCCTCCTTTAGCTTAAAAGTCTAGTGAAAAACTCGAGCTGTTTCTTAATTGTCTCATGATATCGCTGCCAATCTACACAAAAAAAAAAGTATCATGGAATACGTTAAAAAATTAATCTACAAAGTCAAGAAGTGCCATTTCAAAGGGCTCCTAACCCGTAACTCCTTGTGTAAATTGATACCATTGAAGCATTTACACACAAGCAAGGAAAAGAAATTGTTTCCAGCTTTAAAGAAAGCATTTTTGTGTCTCAGTTTTAGGCTCTGAAACGTGGATTATTTTTAATCACTCAACACAATTGAAACATGACACACGAGGGAAAAAAGCTGCATAAAAGATGCTTGCAAAAGGCATCAGGCTCCAGCATAACCTCACCCTCAGTCAATATTTGCTTTGCATGCAAAAACAGACATTCTGCAATACTAAAAAGCAAAACACACTAAAGCAAATTAATTTACTACCTACCTACTATTCAATTGATACCTGATATTATACAGGGCTGTTAAACAAAACTGTCTCCCTGAGCAAAGTAAAACTGGAATTTTAAACTCTTTTTCCTACCTCTAATACAGAGATCCCACAGTGATAAATGCTCTATAAGGTACCTCAGCTTTGCCTACACATTATTTTATTTACTCTTCAAGTATGACAGCTTAAAAGCTGAATTCTTAAAAAGATTACACCTCCCTTTCCCCCACCCTGTGTGCCAACAGAGACGTGGAGTTGTTCAGCAACATGGTGATTCTGCTGTGTCTTTCAAGGCTTCAAGCATTTCAATATATATTTATATATTTAAATACATAATAACAGTGTATCTGCCTGTAAGCAATTTCAAATGGCTTTGACTATTTTTTTAACCAAAGAACTGTGTGAATCAAAAAGATACACTCTCATGTCAAAATACCCCTAATAATCTCAATATTTTCTGTATCCCCCTGCAATGCTTCTGAACATTTGCCACTGCTGTTTGTTGTAAATCCCATGAAGGAAGCACCAAAAGGCACCAAAATCCCACAGTTTTGGCACCTCACTCTTCTGGTCTATTCCCAGCCTTGCAATCAGTTCAGCTTCAGCGGATATGAAAGTAATTTCTTTTTTTTCTGTGTTTATTTCCCTATTTGCACAATGGGGACAAAACTCCTCCATCTCCCACAGATAATTACCAAATAAAAAGCCCTGTTTATGAAATGCTTCAATCAGAGACATCCAGAACTGTTGTTGAGCTGTGAGGAGCAACAACTTTATCGAGGCAACAGCATCTTTGGACAAAAAAACCCAAACCTATCACTGCTTCAAAGGAACAACTCAAACATTCTCCATTCCTGTATTTTTTGGAAGATTAATACACAATATCTAAATAGGGAATTACCCCCACATGACAAAAATCCCTGTGAAGTTTCCTTTCTACAGCACAATGAAGTTATTGTCCTCCTAAGGCCCCAAAGCACTAAAACCCAACAACAATTCCCACATGGAGAAATAGCAACTTAGTAACCCTAGAAAATTTTACTAACCTATCTCATTAACTGATGTATTTCATGCCACACTGGATGTAAGAGCTGCCAAGTCCACCCCCTCACTATTCCTTGCCAGGAAAAACTTTCAAGACAGTTATTTCCCATAAAAAAGGGAGGAGATCCAGCCTTCTTGATAAGAAAAGTTAATTTTGTCCCAACATTGAAGGGCTATCTCAGCTCCTCCAACTACCAACCTGTAAAATACAGACATTTTTCTCTTTCTTTCCCACAGTCCTTGGTCCTGGAAGGCCACACCTTGAGGAAAATTGCAGTGCTTAATGCAAGACACATAAACTGACAAGAGCAATTCTTAAATCACAATTTACCTCATATTCTACTACAGGAAACAGCACACCTTGCAAGAAAGCTCACCTAGGAAGGATAAACCCCAAACCTAGCAACAACAACCCACCAGTGAAAGCTAGATTTAAAGAACAATCACCAGACAGCCCAGACTTCAAAGTTAAATCACAACTTCAGAAGGAATTCAAGCATTTCAGTGAGGCAAAGTCACTGAGCAGCACCAGCTGCGATTCCTGCTCTCCCTAAAAACCCTTGTCTCGATCCACTGTTTGCAAGGAAAATTCAGAAATGGGAAACTGGTGCAAATGTTTGTTTTAAAATCAGTTTCTTAGGGGTGATGAGCTCCTATCAGACTGTTTTACCTTCTGCAAGGAGCACTGTGACTTTATAATGAGGACCTAGATTTTGCCCTCATCACAAATCCGAGCAGGGATCGGGTACCACTCACAGGAGAGACACAAGCCAGGATTTCACAGGAATGCCAGGAAACAAACACAGCTGGCTCACACATAGAAAACACCTTCTCAGAGAGTGGCTGTGTGTCCACAAAGTGCCTGGACCCAGGAAAAGCAGCGAAAGCACAGCATGTTCCAGCTCTGGGAGCTGCTGACCTCATGGAACTCATTTCCAGCACAAACCATCATCGATTCCTGACTTCATCCCAGCGCTGCTCTTTGGCAGGCCCAAGGAAGCTGCATCACCTTGACAGTGAACTTCCACCCAGCTAAATGCTTGCTCACTGAGACTGTGCTGAAAACCTTCTGCTTCTGAATTTTGTGTTGTTTTCATTAACAACAGCTGCCCACGGAAAGATTTCCATCCTCAGGTTAGAGCAGCTCTCAAAGAGAGAAAACAACCTTCCTTCTGATCTGCTCTGAGCTGCCTGTAAAAAACAAAAGAAGCCCTGACAAAATCAAAGTAGCATCAAAAGCATGTTTATCAAAATGGAATCACTCCCAGTCCTGAGGTACTGCATGACCAGTCTTTCCACTTTCTGTCTGGAAGAGCACAAAGGGAGCCCTAAAAGTTCCACTACAGCAGTAGCTGCCCAGAAAGGCCCGAGCAGATTCTCCTCCTCTGGGTTGTCCTGTTGGCTGCAGGAAGCTCTGACAGTGTTTTCCCTCCCTGTCCCCCTCCAGCAGATCACCACAGCCCCAGCACATAGCCCTGGGAATGATTTCCACAGCTCAGCACTTTCCCAGAGACTCCCTCAGCCAGAAGATTCCCAGCTCTGCACAAACACACTGGGGAAAGGCAACACGGATTTCCCACTCTGGTTCCACTGTGCAGGACCTTTTATTTTGGAGTACAGACCACAAGGTCCCATCCCAGCCACATGGAAAGGCAACCACTGCAACTCCCAACTCTTGCAGCTGGGCCCTCACAGTTGATCCCAGCTGGACCACCACTGACCCCATTCTCCCAGCATTTATGGTGGAAAGCTTAAATCCTAATCACTGGAAGGGAAAGGATGTGAGAATACTCCTGGCTGCTCATTCCATACCTTATTTACCACTTTGCAGGGGTACTTACACAATCACCTCACTCCTGAATACACATTAATGGGTGTCTTACTTCAGCCCTACTCCTTCAGCAAGTAATTCAGAAAAGTCCATCTGCCTGAGCCAGCACAGTGTGAGAATTCACTGTTATGCCAAAATACCAAAGAGGTCAGGCACAGTTCTTTGTCTTCCACTTAAGACACACACACTGCAGTATCTCTGGCTGGCACCACTCACCAGGACAAAAACACCCATTTTGCACAAATAGGCACAGAATTTTCTTGACTTCCTCTTCAGGACTAACAAGGAGTCCCAAAATCAAACTCCTGTCTGAAGTCAAATCCTTACTTTAATATTTATCCACATTTTCCTCTCTTAGTAGTAGTTTATGTAGCTACAACAAGGACTGTATTCTTCCAGAAATCAATACTTATAAAAATTATTTCCTGGCTATTAAAGACCCTTTTTCATATAATACCTCTGCATTTCTTAAAAAAAAACAACCAAAAACCAAACAATTAGGGAAATGTCCAAACCAAAAAATTATTCTGTTCTTTAATTCACTAAATAGTTACCAAGCAAGCAGCACAGCCCTTTGCCATGAAAACATGATAAATGCTGAAGTCCAATCTGCCAGGATGCCTCATTAATAATACCTCATATTCCAAAACCACCCAGTCTGATGGAAGAATTGATCCAAGAATCTGTGCAGAAATACAACCAGAAGAGTTGTGTGCAATAAATCTGCAATTCAGACTATTAGTAATCCATCAGCACAACTGCTCACAGCAAAGTAACTGCAGAACCAGCCTAAAATAATAAATACACAGATAGGGTAGAAACAGGAAACTGCCAGCACCATCCCTACTTCTCCAAAGGGAGGAAGGATCCACATGTGAAAGGACTCTCTGACAAACCAGGAAAATGTATCCATTTGCACAAACTGAGATAAAATACCCTAAAAAGAAACAAACCAAGATTTACTTTTATGCCTGCAAGAATCAATTTTTTGTGCTATAAAAACGATTAATGCAAGTTCAAACCATACAAGGCAAACTCTTGAGTTTATATAAAACAGAGCAGCTCTGTGATGAGATGTAAGCTGAGAGCCCACATATATCTGAGTTTTATACAAGTTCTTTATCTAATTGTGTGGACAACTGAGGCTGAAGGAACACAAATGTTGCTTTGGTGATTATTTCCTTTTTGGAGAGTGATGCTGCAAGCAGTCTGTTTTCTGTCATAATCCAACTAAAAGGAATTCTTGAGTCAAAAAAGTTCCCTGGGAGCCAGACGCTTTGTTCTGGCTAAGATTCCATGATGATTCCAGGATTCCATGCTCCTGTGACCATGCCCATTCAATCTTACAGCCACATGTACATATTATGGAGGCATAAAAAGAAAAAAATACTCAAGCCCATTGCTCTCCAACCAACCATGCAAAACATGGCTACACACACTGTGGCAAATGCAAGCCTGAATAACACAAAAATCATCCTATTGCCAGGGAGAGACTTGTTTTAGACTAATTCATCATGAAATGTCAAAGAAAACATTAATGCAAACCTGGAGTAGTGTTTTAGTCAGTGAGAGGAACTTTCTGTGGGACAGGAATAAATAGAAAGAAAAGAAAAGAACATTTTATGGACTTCCAGACTCACCCACGTTTGGTGGTTTCCCGTAGTTCACTGGGAGTTCTGGGGGTCGGCCCCTGTGCAGAGCTGCAAATGCAGATCCTTTCCATAGTGTGTGTCTGAAGTCTGCACCAGAAAGAGTGGCAAGGGAGAAGAAATAATCAATACATCAAATAAGCAAGAGATCAAGCACCACTCCCAACAGCCCAGAATAAGATTTATCTGTTTGTCAGATTCCTCATTTAATGACTGCAACTCTGCTTTCCAGTTCCTCAGCAGTGTCACTGTAAATGGTTTCAACTTATTTTTGCTTAATTTGGGTGATTACTGACTCTAAATCCATGGATAGAAAAAGTGAATTTAAAAAGTGGGTGCACTTTATATTGAGGTCCAGCTGAACTCTGCTATGTTTTCCTTCTGCAATGCCAACACTTAAAGCACCTCTGCTTAGGAACTGCACATTTGAGAATTCACATTTTGCTGCCTAAAAGTGAGAGAAGTGAGGGTTTTTTTCCAATAAATCTGTTTTCCTGCAATATGTGGCAATGTGCCCTTCTTTCAGATTGTCCTCTGCACACCCCCCACCCCCCCAAAAAAAAATCATTGTTTTAAAGTGAAGACTGTTCTCTTTAAAGACTCTCCAGCTCTCTGCTGCCAACTGGCCTCAGAGAGGCTCCTCTCTAGAACAATAGTGATTTTTCTGAGACTGTTCAAAGTGCCTCAGAAATTAGACCTGGATTTCTTCCATTTCTGGCCATCTGGAGGGAGAGAAATGAGCTTCCACAGTGAGTAAGTGCTAAAACAGAAGGACAGTGCTGCAGGTTGGTGGATGTGTGTAGCACCATGTAGGTCTCTGAACATAAAGTGCACAAGCTGAGGTGACTCAGAGACTCCTGAGAGCACCTTCTGATTAAACCCCAAACTGCTGCTGCACAAAGTATTAAATGATACTCATTAAAAACAGCACTCAGACTTCCTAAAATAGATCCTTCCACCTAAACCCTTCTGTTCCCCTGCAGAAAAATGTTTATTTTCTCTTTACATTTTGCTGCTGTTTGCTTCTAAGCTGCAAACTGAGTGTGAAATGAAGGAAAGTTTCGCCTGAATTTCTGCACCTAATTACAGCAAAGCACAGGCAAAACAAAACTCAGTCCCAAAACTCTGTAGGCCAACGTGTTTGAGAACAGCTCATCCCTTCAGGAGATACCCAGTGGATCAGCAGATGCTCGTCAGCATCACCACAGGATGCAGGGAATTAAGCGCTCAACTGCCACCAAAACAGGAAGGTCCTGCTCTGCCATCCCTCCTCCTCTCCCAGGATGATGCTCCTCCTCCTGTGTCACCTCCAGCCCTGTGATCCTTTTCCACCAGCTCATTTAACTCACTACAACAAATTTTGCAACATTTCAGCTTTCTGAATCAGCACATCACAGGATCAAGGAAGTTCTGGCTCCTGCAGGGAGGAAGTGGCAGGGGCATGGAGTGAGGAGGGAAGGAGGAATCACTTCAATAGAAGATGGCTCTCAGATCTCTTTAGTTCTAACAGAAAACTGCTCTCAGGATCATTCTCTCAACCAGAGAGTTTTTCAAAGGGAAAAGGACTGGTGCTCTCTTCATGAAAGGAATGGGGGCTTTCAAATTAACCTGAAGCGAGGACAAGCAGGAATTGTCAGCCTGGCCTTCTCCTACTCCCCAAATGTTGCCCCAAATGTCACCACCCTGTCCTGTGTCCACACAGCCAGGGAGTCATAGAATGGAAAAAAACAGGCTGAAAAATAGCCCAGCTCAATGATTTTAGACACAGATGTGTGTAAATGTATGAGAAAAATTGGCATTTTTCAGATGCATCAAGCCCCTTATCCCATTCACATCATTTACATGAACACGAACGCACTGGGGAAGGAGGAGAGGAAGTAAAAAGATCAGGCAACTGTAGGCAAGAATTGCTTAAAATTACATTTTCAACCCAAGAAAATATATCCAACAGGGCCAGCAACAACTGCATTTTAGGAAGAAAAAACTGGCAAGCACAGGAGGCAAACCAGAGCTCATGAAAACACACAGCTATCCCAAAAGGAATGGCAACAAAAGGGGGCTAATCATTAAAACAGAATTCAAGTCCAGATAAACTGAGAATCTTACCTTTTGCTGCCCTCAGGAGAGACTGGCGCCCAACACCCAGCAAAGTCTGCACCCCCAGGACACTCTGGGGGATTTCCTTGTCTAAGAGGGGTCCAAGTCTCTCACAGATCCTAAGAAGATAATCCGGAGGGATGTGTGCATTGACAGCCACCTAAACACACAAACAACACAGACGGTTGAAAACTGGTTTCTTTTTCCTTCTACTGGTAGTACTTTGCTACATATTCAAGTGTAAAATTACTGCAACCAAGCCTTAACCCCCTGAAAACCCCCTCAAAATTAATTATACTGCATTTTAAAGTAATGTGGAGTGTTGCAAAAGCCACACCAGAAATTTCAGGTTGTAACAGCTTAATTGTAAATTTAGGATATCCCTTCATAAGAAACAAAAATCCCCAGTGCAGTCCTCTGGTCAACTTTTTAAAAGCCTTTTTTACCTTTCAATTAATTCTCTTCCCATTTTTTGCTTAACTGAAACACCCTTGCATTGACATCACTGTATGAAGCACATGTGCAAAAGACTAAAAACCTTAAAAATTACCTAAACCCCCCTAAACATTACCCTAAAATCAATACTCAGTCTCCACTTTTCAGCTCCTGGGAGTAGGTTTCTTTAAGACCCACATGTGTAGGCTCCAATTTTGTCATGTTGGGAAAACATCCTTTATTTTTCCCTTTGGACAGAGACTGTTTTCTATGGAGTGACAACAGTTTTTCTGACAGTCTGTTGGAACAACAAATAAATTGTGCCTCATTATCCAGAATGTCCTGCAATGCCTGACTCCTATATTTACAAACTAGCAGGAAAAGCTGCCCATCAGAGCTCTTTTGACACAGGACACACAGCTCCATCCATTCCTCTGCAGGGATCAACAGCCTCCATCCTACCCAGATCCCAAGGATGTGCCCAGCTCCCACCCCAGCACACGGGAGGGAGTGCCAGGCATCAGGAAGGAGAAGGTCTGTAATTCCCTGCTGCCAAAACATTGTTCACTCAACTGTGTCATCAAACAGATTATTAGGACATGTCGTTGGGAATTTTTTCATTCCAATTGGGCAACAGCAGTGGAGCTACAGGACCCAGCACAGCCAGGCAGGGCTGGATAATGTCACCACCTGCACCACGAGCAGGATCAACACTGTCCCATAATTCAGATTTTAACCAAAAAGAAAAGGGAAATGTCACTAATTAAATATAAAAATTATCAGTTAATTAAATCTGACTAAAAACTCTTCCAATGTGAATGAAATTCTTGGAGAAGGGAGGTATTGGAGAAGGTTCCTCCCTCTACTCATCCCTCAGTCACTGCTGGTTAAAGAATCATCTCATCAATCATGATGATTCTAAAGATCCAAAATCATTATTTTTTCAGTGCAGGAATGAGAGACCTGATGAGTGCATTAAAATGTTCTCACTCCAGGACTTTTCATCCTGTGAGTGAGCATCAAGGAATGACCCTGTGAATGCTCTCCTGCACTGACAGGTTTCTCCAGTCATTTTAGCTTTTTTCCCTAAAATGGGAGTTCCAGAATTATATTGGCACCTTCCCAGAAGTACAGCCAGTGAAGTTCAGTGTATGAGCACGAATTGTCTTTCACTGTAAATGATGGGATATAACAGAAATTGAAATGAGAGAAAAGGATTAACCAAACTTTGGTATTTGCCTCTCTTTCTGAATCATTCCTGAAACACTGTGTAAGTGTTCACACTACAAAATATTTTATGATGGTGCACCAGCCTCCCTTTGGCGTGTAATATTTCTGAAAGGGTCTGAAAGGGAAGTCCTAGAGAGAGAATCTGCAGTTAAGTAAAATCTGAGTATGAAATTCTTATTTCCATCTCTGATAACCAGCAACAAGCCCCTGAGTCACCAAATGCCAATACACAGCGATGTATCAATTTTAAGATTAAAAGATCAAGAAGACCAACCTAGAAGCTCTGAAATCTTATTTCCAGAGCATCAAAAGAACCCAAACCATACCATTCTCTCTGGAAATGTAAAAAATCCAAACCATTTTCCCCACGTAGCACAGCAAACACTCCACCCTGGAGCTGGTTTGGGAGTTTCACCATATTCCATGCCCAGGAAGGTGTTGAATTAAGCCTAACAGCAAATATCCCACTGCAGAGACAGAGCCCAAGGTGTTCCACAAACAGTCCTGATTAACTCCAAGATGGAAAAGGACTTGGTGGCTTAAAGATGAAGGCACAGTTTTATAGGGAATAGCAAAGAACAAACACTGACACACATGGGGCCCGACAGCATTCCCTGATCACACTTCTTTCCCTGCACGTTTCCATGTTTCTACAACCCACAACAGTCCCAAATAAGCAGCCCTTAATCTGAATATTAGCACTGCTGTTACTAACAAACAGCTTCATAGGCAGGCAGCAAGAGCAGCAAATTCTCCTGGTGATTTCTTTTCCATAATAACTTCCAGAAAAAATGCTTAAATCACAGCCCAGAGCTAAACAAGCAATTCTATTCTCAGGTTCCCAAAGAAACTTGAATCAAAAATCCTTCCTTTCATCTCTGTGTGAGACAGTTGTAAATGGATTTTAAGTATTTTTCTAGAACATGAAGCTGCAAACATTCAGCTGAAAAAACCAACGTTTCCCAGATCAGATTTTCCTTAAAAGAAGGATGGAAAAAGGCAAAGGTACAGCTACACCTCTCAGTGTGTGCTTATCCAAATCCCACGTGGCAAAACAAAACAGCAGCAAGGATATTATCAGCTCCTCAAATATATTAGAAAATATTTTAAGATATAATGAGAAAATATTTCAGAAAATAATCAGAAAATGAGAAAGAATTAGAAACAAGTAATACATGCTCAAACCATGCATGTTAAAATAATGCAGAACTGAAAATGTGCTAAGTGAGAACGAATGCTGCAGCTTGGGATAAATCATGAAGAAAATATGTTTTGCTGCCTTGGGATGTGAAAAATCCTATAAAACTTAAAATATGAGAGCAAAAGAATGCAATAGAACCAGGTGAGTTCTCTGAGTACAGTAACCACACAGGTACAATGCATCTAAAAAGAGAAGGATTAAGTGAAGCAAATCTATTCTTTTCAAAAAATCTCTTTTTAAAAAACTCTCCCAGTCCTGACTGCTTGAGCCAGGCTGAGATAAGCTGCTCCAGTGATAAGCACAAGGAAAGAACTATTAGTGAAGTCACGTCAGGGCTCAGAGAAATTCAGCCCCTAAAACTGTTTGTGGTCCGGTGGTTGGAAGCATCACCTCAGAGACCACGAGCAAAGAGTCCTCCCTGGAGCTGGGAGAAGCAGCTTCTTAATCCCCGAAACAAAATCCCCTGGTGTGACTCTGATCTCTGTTTAGACAATGCCTTCAGGCACAAGGTGGGATTCTTGGGGTGTCTGTGCAGGGACAGGAACTGGATTTGATGATCCTTGTGAGTCCCTTCCAAATCAGGAGTCTGTGATTCTACAGCTGCTGACAACTTCTCCTCCAAGGAAGGTTTCAATGAACAGGAAACAAACAACCCAAAAAAGATTCTTTGTGACTACTACTTAAAGTAAGATGTCTGTTTTGCCAGAGATGGGAACCAGGGAGCTCTGGGAACCATCTCTGTTGGAAAGCCCAGTGGAACATCTCTTCCAAGCACAGATTTAAGGCAGGAGCTGCAAACTGGAACAAGGCAGCGACACAGCCCTTCTAAGGCTGCTCTGTCCCCACTCCTGCTGGGCAGGCCCAGCTGGACCTCAGCAGTGGATTTCTCTCCTCCAGGTAGTCATCCAACACTTCCCTCACTTGCCAAAATAACCATCAATTAAGAATCAATTGACAACTGTATCAAAAAGCAGTGGAGGAGGCCAAGAGGCCAAGGCAGCTGAGCAAGCAGGAAATTACTCACAACCTCAAACAGGGAATCTCAGCAAAAGGAAACTCAGACACTGGACCTGCACAAGATACCAACAATACGCAAACAGACTGAAATTAAAAAAGCCTTTACCCACTGGGGTCCCCAGAGAGAACAGGTTGGAATGACCATGCTACCACATGACATTTTCCTGAGGTGACAAAACCGTAACATCTCTGCCCTGCTAATGCTGGGATTGGCAGGATCTATAAATACCAGCACCTCGGACTCAGGGCTAGTTTTAAATCAATGCAGATGGGCAAGGCAGGAACTCGGAGACAAATCCCATAAGCTGTTCCATACCAGCACAGCCGCTCATGGATGCAAATACCCCACTGTCCAACAACAGCTGATTTTCTGTTTTGCCTGGAATTACATGTTTTTCAACACAAAGACCAAACCAGGCTGAGCCAGAAGACTCAGCCCATCAGAAAGTTCTTAAAACCAGAGCAGAGCCAGTCACCTTTATCAGGAATAAACAAAGATAATGTGGAACAGCAGGTCACTGGAGACTGTGCTGATAATCAGAGTTGTTCAGCTTGACTCATCTGTACAGCAGCTGACTCCACACCGAGCTGCTGCGGCTCATTTATAACCAGAGCGCTAATTGCCTGCAAGTTGGACACATTTCAGACCTTCATAAGGCTGGGCTGGATGGGGCTTGGAGCAACCTGGCCTAGTGGAAAGTCTACCTGCCCATGGCAGGGGATGGAATGGGATGGGCTTGAAGGTCCCTCCCAACCCAAACCAGTCTGGAATTATGTGATTCATTGATCCTCACATTTACAAACACATCTCATGTCTCAAGACCACCAGCAGTCAGTGAGAAAGTCAAACCACTGTGGAGTACACCTGCAGAATTCAGTCTGGAGAAGAGGGAACTGAGGGGAGAGTCATGAAGAGCTACAGCTCCTTCTGAGGAGCAGCTCCAGTATCTCTCCCTGAGACAGGGACAGGACCCAGGGAATGGCTGGAAGCATGTCAGGGAGATTTAGGTGGAGATCAGGGGAAGATTCTTCCCCCAGAGGGTGTCAGGCACTGCCCAGGCTCCCCAGGGAATGGGCACAGCCTCAAGGCTGCCAGAGCTCCAGGAGGGTTTGGACAATGCTCCCAGGCACAGGGTGGGATTGTTGGGGTGTCTGTGAAGGGCCAGGAGCTGGACTGATGGTCCTGTGTGCTCCTTCCAGCTTAGGATACTCTGTGATTACCCTAACATGCAGCCAAATGCTGCAGGCAAAAAGTGCTCCAATGTGAAAATAAACAGGAAAAACAAAGGGAACACAAGTGCACATAAACTTGTATTCTGTGTGGTTTTCCTCCATAGGTACAATTTTTATCAGCATGTCTTAAATTACTCGTCTGCCCTGTGATACCTGACATTTAAAGTAAAAGATTAAGTTAAAAAAAAAAAAAAAAAGGAACAAACAAATCTCACAGTGAGCTTTCAGATCTTGCCTAAAAACTAGAGTTAAGTGGGAGTAGACATTCCCTAGATAAAAAACATCAAGTAGCCATTGGGCTGTTGTGTCTTTATCACTCCCAAAAGCTCAGGAGCCGTAACAACGTACTCAGTGGTCACAGTATTGACATGTTTTCTGAAAAATACCACTCAGAACCTGAACAGCCACACTGAGAATGGAAAACAAAGCTGAAAAAACAGAACAAGAAATACTCTGTCTGAATATTAGGGAAACAAACAAATCAGACTTCTCTGGGTTGTAAACTCCCATGAATTCAATTGCCTGCCTGACCAGAGTAGCTGCACCACCCAGCTGAGATTGTAAATGATTTTGGGGTTCTGCCTGTAAAAAGCAGAAATGGGTAGAAAAAAACCTCTTTACCTCCAACTGCTGGCATCTCCAATTTAATTTTGGTTCATTATGTGCCTGAGATAATTAAAATGAAGGTCAGAGTGCTTTGTGTCCTTCACAACCCTGGCTCTGTTCTGAACATGGCATTCAGACATCCAGCCAGCCCTGAAGTCGAGGAGCTCAGGTTAATAAACAATCATATGCAGCCAAAAGTCCGAATTCCAAACACAGCAAACCCTAAGCAATGAGGGAGAAAAAGCCTTCCTTCAACATCCTTAACACTCTGAGGATTCACAGAGAGAAACCCAGCTCATCCCACCTGGCATCAACCTGTCTCACTGTAATGATTCATTTATAATCCTGGTCCTTACTGTAAACCATGAGAAACAGTTAAATAACACTAGATAAAAAGGCAAACTAAAAGCATTGGTTAGTGCTGATTAGTTTAAGACATAGGAAAAAAAAAAATCTTAAATTTAATGATGAGTTTATACAGAAAGAAGAAATGTCCCATTAACTCCAAAACTCACTCCAAAATGGTTTTTCTCTCATTTCTGATATGTTAAAGTACATATTTCAACACGTTCACACACACAATAAAAACAGGTTTTAAGGCTTTTATATCTGTGCCACAGAAAATAAAAGGAAAAAAATTAGATGTTAATTGAATTAATTGATAGGCAAAACCACTCTCTCTGACACCAGACTTCACAGGGGCACTGCTAATATTCCTCTGGGATACTGGGTGCAGTCCCACACTAAACCTGAGGCAGCCCACCGTAAAGATTTCAGATTCTCTAGGAAGACCACAGAGCATTTATTGAATGCAGAACTTACTCTATGCCTGTTCACTCAATTTACAGTCCCAGAATTATCCACAAGATGTGTGAGGAAGCCCAGCTTCCACCTGAAATTCTGAATAGGCTTTGGAAAGGGAAAGGCAGCGGGTCCAAAGGTCTCCTCTGGCCACAAGGAATTCTGTCCACACCTGAACTCCTACAATGTTGCTAAAGTGGGAAATCAGCTCCTGAGCCAGATGCAGAGGAGTTTGAGCAACAGTCATGGCAAAATCCCACGTCACCATTGCTCCATGAGAGCCGGGAGAGGCCGGGACGTGCTTTCCATTCCTTCCAGGTGAGGTGCCAAGCGCTGCTCGCAGGTATCAATGCTATAAACGCTACTGGGAAGTTTACAGCCTTCCAACTGCAAAGTGCTACATCAGCGCCACACGACATCGCCCAGAGCTCCCAGAAATGAAACCAAGGCCGTCTGGACCCTTTGGAAAAGGTCTGGAACGGCTTCAGTTTTGTGGCTTTCACACAGACACATCTCGGGGGGTGCGGGGCCAGGGGCCACCCCCCACCCCCGGCCTTGCGGAGCGACTGACCTTCCTCAATGACACACATTCATAGGGTTTATACCTCAGCAAAAGCAGCCACTCCGTGTATTTCACCGGCATTTAACAGCCAGAACACAACACTTCCTAACCCCTCCTTTCCTGCCTGACAGCAGGCCCAGACGCCGCGGCGAGGGGCGGGTTTCGCGCAGGCCGCCGCAGGCCGGGAATCCCTGACCCAGCCCGGCAGCGCCGGGCCCGGCGGCACGTCCGGCACGTTCCCCCGCGCCGGGCCGCGGGAGTACGGCCGAGCCCGGCCCGGAGCGGGGCAGTCCCGGGGCCGCGGGCGAGGCGGCGGCTATGGCGCGGGGGGGCCGGAGGGGACCCGCGCCCCGCGCCCCCCGCCCCGCCGGCTCCGCCGCCGCGC